GGCATTTTATATACATCCTCATTGAGGAAACAAAGGCTCTGAGGAAATAGCCCTCTGCTTGTGGTGACTATGGCTAATGCTCCATAACATATCATGAGCCCATGGAAGGCAGGACTCATATTACTTATATATAAGAGCAGGTCATCAAATATTTGTTGAAAAAATTAAAAAATTTGGAGACCACACTATAATAAAATACAAAAATCACATGTAGTCACATCCAGAGATTACCACTATTAATATTTGTATGTATCTTTTGTGTATCCTGTGTTCTGTTTGATTTAATAAATATTTGCATGTTATTACAAGTTCTTAATAATTTTCTCAGTGGATATAAAATATTCCATATAATATATTTACTTAGCCTTTCTGCTATGGTTGGACAATCTGTTGCCAATTTTTTGCTATTACGGAATAACAGGTTAGAAATATTTTTCTTTGTACATAAGTTTTTGTTGCATTTACAATTATTTTCTTAAAAGAGATTACTAGAATGGATTTCTGGGTCAGAGTATGAGCATTTTTAAAGTTCTAGAGCCTTTTGGGGCCGGCCCGGTGGCGCACTGCTACAGTGCGCCGCTTGGGAAGCGCGGTGGCACTCCCGCTGAGGGTTCAGATCCCACATACAGACCGGCCGCTCACTGGCTGAGCGAGGAGCGGGGGCAATGCCGAGGGTTGCGATCCCGTAGCCGGTCCCGGTCCGGTACGGGCGCAACACTGAGGGTTGCGGTCCATTGCCGGTCACGAAAAAAGACAAAAAGACCAAAAAAAAAAAAGTTCTAGAGCCTTTTAAATGGTGTATTTGAACTGATAACTCCACAAGCTCAATGAATGCCCTATACTTAGTGAATAGTAAGAAATAATAGGTTTTAAAAAATTATTGTTTGCCAATTTGAAAGGCAAAAACATGCTTCTTTATCTTAATTTGTATTTCTTTGAGTATCACCGAGGCACAACACTTTTTCCCATTTGTCATATTACAATATCTGAATTGTATTCCATACGTTGTATTTCATTATCTGAACTGCCTGTTCATGTTCCTCATGGAATAATAATAATAGGAGGAAACCCTTATATAGCAACTTCTATGAGCCATTTCTCTAAGTGCTTTAAGCACTGGCCATTTTAATCATACAGTTCTGTGAGACAGATATTACTATTACCTCCATTTCACAGATGAGGGAATGAAGTCACAAGGGAGCTAGATAACCTGCTCATAATTATACAACTGGTGAAAGGGCCAGAACTTGAAATTGGGGAATCTGGCTCCAATATCCAGGCTCTTAATCAATGCTAAACTGTTCTCTAATCTAATATGTGTTTCTGATCTTGCTGGTCACTAACTCCTACACACAACACACATACACACATGCACACACACACATACACACACGAGGCTGCTTCTGACAACTGCATTAGTACCATTCATGGAAATAACCACTGTGCTATTTGGACCCCTATTTATTTATTTTTTGGGGGGTGGCTGGCTGGCAGGGGGATCCGAACCCGTGACATTGGTGTTATAAGGCTGCGCTCCAACCAACTGAGCTAACCATCCAGCCCCCATTTGTACCCCTAGTGTGTGCTTTGCTCTTCTAGAAATGGGCAAAGAAGAGTAGAGACCAATGACTATATAGTATTCACAGAAGAATCCATACATATATGAGGGTACTTCAAAAAGTACATGGAAAGATTTGTATCATCTTTTAATTCTATTTTTCCATGAACTTTTTGAAGCACCCTCAT